GGCGGATTTCGAACCCAGGCCAGAGGAGGGGGGAATGCACCGGGGTGGTTATTGCCACTAGTCCGCAAGGGCCAGGTGCACTAACCCAATCATCTTAAAGTTTGAGAACGAATCATTTAAAAAATTTTTTTTGAACAATTTTGACATTATTTACATGTATATATGAAAGAAAAATAAAATAAATTTTGTGAAATTTGAACACATTACTCATAAAAATAAACAATTTTAATCCAAAATCTAATGACACTAACCCAAAATGGGCCATTCATGAATTGTTTGAATTTAAATATCCTATTCACAAAAGATATAATGATTGGGTAAAATAAAACATGGGGTGTTAATAATTTTGGAGGTGAAAACAACACTAGTGTCAAAAAATAATTGACCACTATTATCCAACCTACTTTCCCTTATCAATCTATGATGTTACATGTGTTGGCAATGACAGACTTTGATTGGGGTGTAAGATGCAAGAGTGTAAATGAATCAGAGACGTTGAATAGTGTGGCCTCACATGGAGGCATGTGGATAACATGTAAGTGCAACCAAGACATCGTGTTGGACTTAACGTTGAAATAAAGAACCCAATTCAAGTCAACTTGACAGTCTCTCTTGTCTTTTTATTGCAGCAATCATTTATCCAAAAAGAGAACCAATCTACTGTGCTCATCCTCAGAACCAGAGAACAACGAATTTTGAATCCCGGATTGATACTTCAAATTTAATAATTTATTCTTAATTTTCAGTGTTTCAATAGAATTAATAAAAAATTTAAGTTTTACTAATTATTTTAAAAAAATAATATTTATTCATCTTATTTTTTAGAAATTATGAAAAATATTATTTTAAAATTATATCATTTTAATAAACACATATTAAAAAAATTAAAATATTTTATTTATAAAAATGAATTAAAATATTTTTTATTTTTTTTTATAATTGTTTAAAATAAAATGAATAAACATTCACCATTTATTTAAATATATACATTCAACTTATGAATCATTAGTACTCCTTCAATGTATGAGCTGACCCATTTCCATTTTTCTTTTATTATTGCCCTTGTTCAAAAAATAAAACAAAAACAAATTTTGAATCCCAAAATGCAAAACAGATCAAAACAACCTCAGAATGTAAAAATTTTAACTAATCAATTGGGTACTTTAGAATTATGGAAGAAAAAAATTGCAGAAAAAAAAAAAGACCTTTTATTGTGGAGTAGGCTGCAGAGGCAGACCGAAACTCAAGACTCGAGGGTTTTGTCATGCTACAAAGGGGACAATTAGGAGGAGAAGCATGAAAATAATTGAGGGCATTATTAGTTGTGGTATAATAATGCATTCAATATTCACAGTAACTTTTATGTCCTTTACCAAAAAAAAAAAAAACTTTTGGGGCCAAAGTTTCTTCATCATTGGATAATGAAAAGAAGAGGGTTGATGGTACCATTCACTTTTCTTTTCCTCATCATGTGATGCAATTACTTCCCCGCACTTATTTCTTGTTCAAATAATAATAAATGGAATTAAGATTTAAAATTAAAATATAAAATTAATGATATAATTTACATAATGTCATTTAAATATTAAAAAATAAATTTTATATTATTTAATAATTAATTTTTTTATTTTTTAAAATTCATAATATTATAGAATTAAGTAAGTTAACGACATAACATGATTCACATAATGAGCCTCAAACTTTTGTTCCAAAATTTTGTCCTTTCTTATATTACCCTTCTGGTTATTGTACCTGGAGTTAATCCTTGAAATCAAACCACAAAACCCATATAAGGTTGGAGATATATTTGTCTTTAAAAAATATAAAGTTAAATTGTCTTTTTAAATTATTAATTAAAATGAATAATTTGTTACTTAATATGTGACCTTATTATATATTAATTTTTTATTAAAAATATATTTAGATGGTAAATAAATTTTTAATATATAATTACATTGTATATTAAATAATAAATAATTTATTTTAATTAAAATTTTTTTAAAAATAATTTACTCCTTTTTTTTTTAATCTTTTAAGAACAAATTTATCTCTACCTTCTTACCTAATCTAAAGGACGAATATATAGGTTTTTCCAGATTACACTGACATTTTTCAAACCCCTATCGAAATAACGTCAGTACCACTCTCATAATTTCATCTCAACAACAATAGTCATTGATTTAATAGCTTTATCTCAATAATTTAAACAATTTAATGGTCAAATTTTTTTGTTAAAAATAAAAAATTTTAAATTTAAATCGTATGACATATGAGTACAGTGAGATAAAAAATAAAACATGATTGTTTTTTATTGTACAATCAAAATAAAAAAAAAACTTTACTAGTACCAGTTTATTTTGATATATTTCGTTTCTAGTTTTTATCTTCCTAATCATCTTTAATATATCGAAAATTAATTACTCAGCTATAGATACGTATTTTACTATCTTCCCAAGTTTTTCGTTACTTAAAAATGATAATTTTCACAGCAAAGCATTGAATGGAATGTGAGACAAGTTGTTAATTTTGCACCCATGAATAATAAAACCTGTTTATGGCAAAAAAAAAAAAAAAAAAAAAAAAACCAACTTTTTTCAGTTCAAAACATA